GTCCTAAAAAAGGTAGCTAGAGTAAAAAGGAAGGAAGGAAGGAAGGAAGGAAGGAAGGAAGGAAGGAAGGAAGGAAGGAAGGAAGGAAGGAAGGAAGGAAGGAAGGAAGGAAGGAAGGAAGGAAGGAAGGAAGAAGGAAGGAAGGAAGGAAAGGAAGGAAGGAAGAAAAGGAAGGAAGGAAGGAAGGAAGGAAGAAGGAAGGAAGGAAGGAAGGAAGGAAGGAAGGAAGGAAGGAAGGAAGGAAGGAAGGAAGGAAGGAAGGAAGAAGAAGAAAAAAAGAAAGAAAGAAAGAAAGAAAGAAAGAAAGAAAGAAAGAAAGAAAGAAAGAAAGAAAGAAAGAAAGAAAGAAAGAAAGAAAGAAAGAAAGAAAGAAAGAAAGAAAGAAAGAAAGAAAGAAAATGTGCATTGGCAAAAAGGAAGCAAAATTATCCCTCTTTTCAGAAAGGATGACAATTTACTCAGAAAATCTTACAGAATTAATGCAAATTATTAAGACAATAACTTCAGTAAAGTATTAGGGCACAAACTACTTCCACAAAAAGCATCAACATTTCTATATACTAACAAAATCCTAGGCAAAAAGCAAAGAGAAATTCCACTTAATATAATTACAAACTACATAAAATCTGGGAATTAACTTACCACGACACATATAAGATTTAAATATAAATGCTACAAAACTACAAAACAATGTTTAGAGAAAAAATAGACTAAATAATTGGAAAGATATTATGTATTCACAGCTAGACCATGACAAAATAATAAAAATTATTTTATCACCTAAATTAATTTGCAGATTTAGCACTAAAATTATCAAATTACTAAGGAAATACTTTATAGAATTAGATAAAATAATAGTACAATTCATATGGTGGAACAAAAGGTCAAGAATGTTAAGGGAAATAATGAAGAATATGTGGATGAAGAGGACCTAGCATTACCGGGTCTTAAACTGCATTATCAAACAGTAATTATCAAAAATAATTTAGTACTTTTTAAAAATAGGAAAGGACAACAATAGGAAAGTCTAGATGAGCAAGAATTAGAAGCTCAAGTAGCAGAGATGGTGACAGAAAAGGGAGCTTCCATAGCCAAAGAATTCCTCACCAAGTAGCCAATCTCTTGATGATGCTCCTCTTTGTACTTACTTTATAAACCAACTTAATTTATTGCCATAATCATGCTTGAAAACTTCCCAGCAGAGCTTACACACTATTGGTATAACCTTCAAGAGCCCAGATCACCTCTGTGCCATAAAGCATCAGAGTAAGTTCTTGCAGAAGTTGTGGGACTTTTTAATTTAGTCAACACACAATACTAAAATGGGACCTTGTATTCACTTTTCAGTCAATTGTATAACTGAAATCACTAGACTAGAAATCACCTCTGAAATCCTACCTGTTCCCATCAAGCATTTTTAATCAAGTGTACATTTAAAAAACAGATTGAGTATTCTCATATCTTATTGAGGTGTAAAGGTAGGCAAATGAGCTAATGCTTGTTGATTTGTTTCCTTCTTTTGTTAATAATTCCATTCACTGGTTACTTTTTTTCCTTTTTCTGGATATCTTTCCCTTTGAAACATCTTGAAAATTAATCCTAGAGTGCCTTCAAGACTGTTACTTCCAGTATGATTTCTTCTATGTGTCCTCGACATGGTACACTTGTTCTTCCAGTTTTCTCCTTCAATAACATTTCCACTTCATCACATAACAAAACAAGTATTCCTCCACAACACTACTATCCCAGTGCCTCATTGTGGTATGGAGGTCGCCATGGGTTCTTGAATTATATGCCAGCTAGAGCATATGCTTTGGTAGGTTTCTGCCATGTTAGAAAGACTTCAAATACTGTCTTTATGTCAGAGTGTACCTGAGGCCTTAAGGATGAATCTAGCCAAGTACAAAAGAGACTTATCAAAGACAGATTAGCCACAGGAATATTTTGGCCATGACAACATGTTAAAGAACAATATAAAAAGTGGCCTCAGTTCATATAAATTTTAGACAATCTACAAACATCAATTTAAATATTGGTACTACTACTAGAGAAAATGAATGATATCAACAATGACATTCTCGCTAAAAATGAAACCATGGAACTAAATGGTTAATTCAAAATTTTTTTCTCTTTTGTTTTTTAGCCATTTTTCATCTCTTTGGCATTTCCACTTGTTATGCTTTGAGCAATGTGAGAAACCTACCTCTCTTTACTCCTATGACTCTAATTCCTGGTTCATTTCATATGCAGTGAAGTAAAAGGGCAACTTACAAGTTCTCTTCAGAAAAACAAATACAGGAAGTGGCAGAGGTGGTTCCAAAATGTATACAAAACAATAAGAAACATAATAGCTAATATTTATATAATGTTTTAAGGTCTGTAAATTACTTGACAAAAATTATCTCATTTTATCTTCCTGATAACTTTGGGAGATAGGTGCTACTATTATCCTCATTTTACAGATGAGGAAAATGAGACTGAAAGAGGTTAAATGACTTGCCATAGAACAAACAGCTAGTAAATGTCTAGGGAAAGATTTGAACTCAGTTCTATCTTGACTCCCAAGTCTACCACACTATCCACTGAGCCACCTAGCTACCCACATAAACATCATCTCATTGTATACCTGATTATCTAACCTTGCAGGGCTTATGATGAACATGAACAAAAAGATCACCATGGCAAAAACTAAGGCTTATATGTAATTGTCACAAAAGATGACTTCTATAAAGAACTTAATGAAATCATGCAAACCCAGTAACATTTTTCTATTCAGGGACTTCAATGGGAAGTTGAGCACAATGGAAAATGGCAAAAAATAATTTGGAAAATAGATCCCAAGGATAGTAGACCACTCAAAAAGCCTACTCCTGTATATTACAAATACTTTCTTCAAGTCAGAAAGAGTTAAATATGGAGAACACTGAATGACATCACAAAAAATGAAATTGACTACATATTAACAGACAGAAAATGATTGGTTTCTGTGGGGGAGTTATTTCTGAATTGGGTGCCTCTATGCAATGAGAACATCTACTACTTAGACCATGTGTTAGGAATCAACAACAAATTAGAGTGACATAGATGAAAAATTTGGGCATCTAGATGGTACAATGGATGGAGTGCTGGGCTTAGAGTCAGGAAAACTCATCTTCCTGAGTTTAAATCTGGTCTCAGACACTGAGAAGCTATGTGTTCCTGGGTAAGTCACTTAACCCTGTTTGTCTCAGTTCAGAGGGGCGGTGTTTGCTTAATCAGTTAAAAATATCTGATATTTTTGTTTAATTTGGGGAATTTTTAAAAATATTACAAATATATCAGATATTACAAATATATCAAATTACAAATATATACAAATATATCAAATATTACAAAAATATCAGATATTTTCATAGCTATTCCAAGGCTGTCAGAATTCCTGAAAACTGGTCTCATTATAACCATGGCATATTGCATATTATAGGTAAATAATTACTTCCAGAACATCTCCAACCATGTTGACTGCATCTTCTTTAATCCTTCCCCACCTGAAGATGGGATCTGTCCATAGAGCCACCCTGGGTTTTGGTAGTCTAATTGTAACCTCATTTTACTTGGTTCCAGGCCTATACCACAAACACTTCTCCAACATCACTAGTTATACTACCTCATATATAATTCCAACTCCCATTTTTCAGTTCCCCAGCTCCCATCTATGTATCGCCTTTCCACATTAAAATGTAAGCTTCTTGAATTCAGGGACTGTCTTGCTTGTTTTATTTATATCCCTAGTGCTTAGCACAATGCCTAGCACATAGTAAGCACTTGACACTTTATACAGCTGAATAATATATATTTGAGCTGTATACCTTATATGTTTACTATAATATATACCAATCACAGTGGCACAAATGTGTATGATATTTTAAATATTTTGGTTATGTCCATGTATATTTTTGTTTCTTTTTCCTTATATTGTAAAGACCTTGAATATAGTGAACACATTTTCAATTCCCTTCAGATACCTAACTATACCCATTGTAGGCATAACATTAAGACATTATCTCATAAAAGCATCATTAAATTTTTACAATAGAACCCCTGTATGTAACAAGTCATACTATGACATCATTAGGCCAATCATGTGACATCAGGCCAGCTCAGCCCAGCTCCCATCTGACTCTCGAACTAAGGACTTTCCCTACCTGGAAGGCTAGCATATCACTTCCCTCAACTCTATTCCTATTGAACCATCAGCCCTCTGTAACATTGTTTCACCTAATGCCATTTTTAATGGAACTAATTTACAATGATGGGGATAGGAAGCAGTATACCTGCATAATTCCATACATTCAAAGGGATTTCAGTAGATGTTATTACAGTGACTGACCCTTCTCAGTGAAGAACTGTCTTCATTTTCTCAGACTTGCCTTCAGTGATTTATCCAGTCAGTAGTGATTTTTGTCCTCAGCACCATTGCAAGCACTTTGTTTTTTGCCGAATTGTATATTGCCTATGTGTACATACCAGAATGGTATTGGGGGAAAACAACTGATGTTTAAGCCAGGAAGTCCTGACATATCCTGGCTATGTGACCCTGGGCAAGTCCCTTAACCTCTCAGTGCCCTTTTCAATTCTCATAAGACTATAAATTGTACTGGCAGAGTGAACAGAATGCTGGCTAAGGGGTTATGAAGGCTTGAGTTCAAATTCTGTCACAGATACTTACTAGATGTGTAATCCTGAAATAATCACTTAACTTCTGTCTCAGTGTTTTTATCTGTAAAATGGGGATAATAATGATACCCACCTTCCCAGGGTTGTTGTGAGGATCAAAGATAATATTTGTAAGGTGCTTTAAAACCTTCAAGTGTTATATAAATGACAGCTATTGATATTATGATGATGATAATGACGATTATCCACTTTGCCACCTGGTATCTCATGTGAGCTTTGGACTGATACATACTTTTCCTGTGGTCAGCAAAATATCAACAAAGAGATATATGTTTGGCACTTGCCTTGAGCTCATTAGTATCTGAGAGTTTGGCTTTGAGCTCAGTGTTAGATTCCCGGGCCACTCTCAGATCCTTCTGTAATCTTTCCACCATCTTCTGCAGTTTCCTGATGGTAAGGTTGGCCTCGTCCTTCTCCACAGCCAAGGCTGTGCAAACCTGCCTCTCTTCTTCCAGGTGAATTACCTTCTGCCGAAGAAGGTTCATGTGCAGCTCTCGGCTCTCCAGCCTTTCTTTCTGAGCCTTTAGCTAGTTTAAGAGAACAGGGAATTTTCTTTATAACTGAACACTCGGGAAATATAAGTGAATTACTGCTATCACAATGATCTTTATATTTCAATAAGACTCATTTGTACCAACCAAAAAGGTTATTGGACTTCTTTTCCCTGATTGCATTTTTTATTCATTTTTTCCAGGAATTAATTTCATGAGCTACGAAGCCCTAGACAAAAGAACCACAGAAAATGTGCAGAGGAGGCAGGCTTTCAACTCTGATTCTCCCTAGCATTAGGTGCATCATAATAAAAAAGTGAAATTGCATTTAAGACTACGAAAATGGATTCATCAAGGCCAGACTATAACAAGAAGCAGAGAGACTCAATCCTCCGCAAACTCACTGGCAGCCAACCCTGTACTGATTAATCTCAATCACAAAGTGTTGGGTTTAGTTGGCTAAAAAAGATTAGAGTTATTATGTTTTTAAATTACTTTTTTTCAATCACCTTGTTCTTACTTGAAATGCCAGGGAAATTATTTTATGAAGCCTTGGGTTTCATTTAATCAAAGAATCAAGCCTAAGAATTGAAAAGAACCAGAGGAGTCATTTAATCCCACTCCCACCAGATGGGTTAATCCCTCTACAAAGCTTGATCATTCCCGTCTCATTGAAAAGCAACAGAAGGCTCACTTGTTACCTTTACGGGCAACCTATTCCATTTCCAAGCAGCTCTAAATATTGGGAAGTTCTTCTTTATTTTGAGCTGAAATCTGGCTCCCTCTAACTTCTCCTTCACCTGGTTTTGCTCTGTGTGGAGCCAGAAGGAATAACTCTTAGCCCTCTCCCACAAGACAGGCCTTCAAATGTTTGATGAAGTTATCAGGTCCCTCTAAATCCTTTCTTCTTTTAAATATCCAGCATGATGTAATGGAAATAATAGTAAGCTGAGAGTCAGAACACTCTCAATGAAATCACAGGTCAGGCCCATATCTTAACCGCACTCTCACTTGGGAAAAGACTTGACCAACTTGGCCCTAAAGGCAATGGGGGAGAATTGCAAAGAGAAACACTGGGCATGCTAAAAGGAAAAAACAAATTCTCAAGAATTAGGACTCTGCAAAATGCAAAAGGCAGATGACCACTTAATCGTATATGTTGAAAAGAAGATGCTTGTTCAGTTATGGCTTGTACCAGATTGCCACTAATGTCTTTTTCAACACTGAAATTCTAGGATGCTAACATTGCCTGAGAGCGAAAGTTATTGCAAACAAGGGAAGATCACAGAAGACTTCATAGGGGAAATAGAACTTGAATTGGGCTTTGAAGGATGAATAGGAATTCAACAAGAATGATAGGAGGACATTCCAGGTATAGGCAATAGCACGAGCAAAAGCACAGAGGTTGAAAAGTTCAAGAGTTGTTCAGCAGACTAAGTGGCAGTCCAGACTGTCTACAGCATATAATGCATGAAGGATAAAGATAATACTGGAAGGAAAGGTGGCACCAGATTGTGAAGGGCTTTGAAAAATGGGTAAAACAGTCTGAACACAACTTGTATGGAACCACTGAAGATTGTTAGACTGGGAAGTGACATGACCAGATCTATATACATAAGAAAGTTTAGCAGAAGGCAGATATGAGAAAATCCATTAGAAAGCTATTGTAATAGTCCAAGTGCATAGGGAAAAGAAGATCCACACAAAGGTGCTGGTCATGTAAATAAAGAGGGAAGAATCATTTTAGACATGTTTTCTGAGGGAATCAACCCAGACTTGATGACTGCTTAGATATAGGAGGTGAGGAAGAGGGAAGAGGCAAAAAAGTCACAATTTCAAAGTAGGTGAGTGACAGTGCCACTGACAGAAAATCAAGTCAAAAAGGGGGCAGAATGTTTAAGAGGAAAGAAAGTCACTCGATTTTGGACATGTTGAATTTGAGATAACAATGAGACGTACAGGTAAAGATGTCCAATGGGAGTTAAGGGCCCGAAATTTGAGAGAAGGGAGGATGAAGGTACAGATTTGATCATCATCTGAATAGAGGTGATAGTTGAAGACTTAAAAATTGATAAGTTTGCCAAGGAACATCAACCAATAGACAAGTATTTATTACTTATCTACTACATACTAGGCACTCTACTTGGTGCTAGGAAATAAAAGAACAAAAAATATAGAAAAGGACAGAGCCAAGGACGGAATCTTGGGGAGCAGCTAACTTATGGATTAGAGAAAAGGATGAGGAACCAAGAAAGAAGACTTGTTAGGAATGGTTGGAGACATAAGAGGAGAACTAAGAGACTGTGGCATAAATAAAACCAAGAGAATAGAATGGAACGATTTATTATTTATTATTTTATTTTATATTTATCATTGTATTTATAAAGCACCTACCACATACCAAACACTGTACTAGGCAATGAGAATAAAACAGAAATGATATAGTCTCAGCTTTTTCCCTGCCCCCAACAAGGGGAGGCAACATGTGTGTATACATATCTGTGTGTATGTATATATTCATACATTGTGGGTATGTGTCCATATACACACACATATTATGCATTGTGTGGCTAGATGCATTTCTTACAAACATGTATGTATCTATACGTACCCCTATGTGTATCTTTTATACATATGTATACATTGTGTATATGTGTGTATTTGTATGTGTGTGCATTGTGCACGTATGTCCATGTACATGTATATATTGTGCATTGTATAGGTACATGTGTTTCTCATGAACGTCCATGTGTGTCTACATACACATGTGTATGCCTACAAGTTTTATGTGCATATAAATATCTACATACAAAATCCATTAAAAAATAAATACAAGGTAGTATTGAGGAAGAGGCATTAGTAACCAGAGATATCAAAGAAGACCTCAATTAGGGGGCAATGTTTGAGCTAAGATATGAATGAAATTAAGGTTTCTTTGAAGCATAGGTGAGGAGAGAGTGCCTTCCAGGCATAGCGATGGGCTGTGGAAATGCAAGGACATGGAAGATGGAGTGTTCAATATAAGAAACAGCAAGATCAGTTTGACTGGACCATTGGAGGTGTGAATGGGGAGTGTCATATAATAATTCTGGAACTGTAGGCTGGAGCCAGGTTTCAAGGGACTTTAAAAGTCAAATAGTATATGTTTTATCCTAGTAGCAAGGTAGAGCCACTGATGCTTTTTGAGCAAGGAAGTAACATGGCCAAACCATGCTTTGAAAAAGTCATTTTGGCAGCTGAGTATGAGGGGAGAGACAAGGCAGGGAGCCTAATTAGGAAGCCATTCAATAGTCCAGGCAAGAGATGATGAGGGCCTGAATTATGGTATTGGCCCTGTGAGTAGAAAGACAGGTTCATATACAAGAGATATTATGGAAGTAAAATCAACAGGACTGGCATTTATTGGATATAATAGCTAATAGCAATTAATTGGTTAATAATAGCTAACATTTATATAGTGCTTACTATGTGCAAAGCACTGTGTTAAGCACTTAACAATTATTATCTCATTTGATCCTCACAACAACCTTGGGAAGTAGATGCTATTATTATCCCCATTTTACAAATAAGGAAGCTGAAGCAGAGGTTAAATGATTTTCCCAGGGTCACATAGCTATTAAGTGTCTGAGATCAGATACTGAACTCAGGTTTTTCCCAACCTGGAGCTCTATCAACTGCTCCTCTATCTACTGTTGTAGCTATAAAGAGTCAAGAACTCTGAGGCTGTGAATTTGATTAATAATGGTATCTACAACAGAAATTAGGAAATTCGGAAGGTGGGTAGGTTTGGCATAAAAAATGATGACTCCCAGTCATCATCACTTCCTTTCCTAAAAGCATATGATCCACTTAATTAACAATTTATATCAGAATTTTGCTATGATCAACATAAAGCTCACTAGTCCGTATATCTTTTCCTTTCAAAAACTACTCCTTTCCACTGTCCTGTCTTCTAGAACATCTTCTATTTCCCATGACTCCTCAAAGATAGGGATTCTTTGAGAAACCTCTGATAGATGGTTCAACAATAACACCTCCAATCTTTTTCAGTACCCTGTAGTATAATTCATACAAGTCAAGAGATCTAAAACTTAATTAGAGTCAATAACTAGACATTCACTACTTCTTGCCCATCTTTGGCTCTAAAACTTGTTTTGTTCTACCCTTTCTAGCTGAAGCTCATTCTCCTTGACAGAGAAAGAAGCAAAATAGCATTTATTTAGTTCCTCTTTCTGCAATGTCAAACCTACCCAAGGGGCCTGTCCTTTCTTCTTCCTCTTCTTACTCTAAAAATAGCTGCAAAAGTCTTTTTTGTTTTCCCTATTTTTTTTTACCATCCTCAGTTCATTCTGCACTTTATCTTTCTTGACACTAGTCTTAAAGGTTTATGAGAACATTACTTATAGAGCTGGAAGGGGCTTCAAGGTGTACATAATTTGTTGGCTTATAATATCTACAGACTGTCCTCTCTCCTCCCATAAAAAATGATCATAAACCATTCATCATTTGCAACTAAAATTAATGAATGTTTAATTTGTTAACTTGAATTAATGAAATTTTGGTTACTTCTAAAGAAAGTGTAATCATTAGGAAGAAAGAAACTGAGAAGACTGAAGAAAGAGATTATTGTTATTATTATTGTCATTATAGTTAATGGTCCTCATCTCCTTAATTGAGATCCAAGTGAAAAGGAATGGATGCTGAGTACAGAGAAAGACTTATTCTCTGGGTAGAACCTGGGAAGAAAATGTAATCCAATTTTCCTTTCTCAATAGCAGTGATATTGTTGTATAAAATATCCCTAACGTTATGACTGTTGTATAGAAAAGGTGCTACTACATAGTTTCCTGGTAGACTTGCCCATATTTCCCTATTTCTTTCTAAAAAATAACCACCATGTTTTCCTCCCTTTCTTCTTTGTCTGAATGAGAGGGCAGCTTTTTTTTTTCATTCTATACTACCATGATCGCCAACTTTCTAAATTTAAGATGAGAAATTACATTTTAGAATTAATTTAATTAATTAAAACAAAACTAGCAATCCCACTAAATTCCTTCTCTAATGTTTCATCATGGTAAGGAAGCCACCCTGGCTTCTCAAAGGGAAAACAAATTCTGACAGACCCTACAAAGCTGGGAAGATTTCCACGCCTCTTACCAGACTAAGTGTCTGCCATCCATGAATTAGCTTCACTGATTGGGGACAGGCTCATCACCAGCATACTGGGCAGCAGATGATAATGTTTTCTTTTTCCACAGCAACGTATGAAGACCACCTGATAACTACTACCCACTTCTATGTTCCATGCAAGAGCAAATGAGAGTGCTAGCAGGAATCTACAAAGTATTACTCTGGATTATGAATTCTTGAGTAAGACTTCAAGTCCAGGATGGCACTGAGGAAAGCTTTAGGAACATGGGTGGTGTTTTCATTAGTGTTGCTGATCAAAGGCAAGGGCTTCAGATGAGAAAGGCAGATTTGAGAAATTAACAGCTGGTTAAGAAGATTGTATCTGAGAACAGGGTTTGGATTTCTGACCCATGGCTTAAAGTATACGACTGATGGGTTCTTGGCCCAGGATGAAGTGCGCCTAACAAGCCACAAAGTAAAAAGCATAAAAAAAATGGTTTTACATCGAAGTGTAAAGCCATATTTGATTGAATGAATGAAAAAAGCATTTATCAAGTGCCCATTTGCCAGGCACTATGCTGAACATTGGGATACAAATGCAAAAGTGAGGCATTCCCTATTATCTAGAGGCCTACATTCTAATGGAGGAGACAAAATTTAAGGGAGTGGTGGCCAGGAAAGGAGTTTTGGTCTGGGACGTCACAGGAAGGGTGAACAGAGCTATAACTACCTTACCTTTTCCAGAAACAATGGTAGTATTAATTTGATACTGTTTCCAAAATAAGAAGTGGTAGGAAAGTAAGGGAGACCTATCAATGTGTGTGGTCGAAGGGAAGATGGTAAGATGCCAGATGTGGATGAACAAATAGATGGATATGTGGATGAATGGATGAATGGATGGATGGATAGTATGTAAAGCATGACCGGAAGCCAGCTAGGTACAAGGGATTAGGTAACTGCATTCATTCATTATATCCAAATTTCTGTCATCCCTTGGGCACTACAAAAGGCAAGTGAAGCACACTGAAGCTAAGCCAGAATGCACCACTTTTATAGAGATGTGAAGGATTTCCAGTCTATCAATGGAGGTAGTATTTATACAGATGACAGATATCTGGAAGTAGCAAAGAGGTATATCTCAGCCAAAACTAGCAATAATTATTGATAAATGTGGAGTTAATATTTTTTCTTATAACATTTGGGATCCCTCAGAAATTGATTTTTTTTTCAACAAGGCTGAGATAGGCCACCTTCTTACCTTTCTCTGTAAGCTATGGGCCATGGTCTTGTTTTCAATAACTGCATTGCTCTCAAGACGGACCAGCTGCTCTGCACGAGCTAAAACTGCATCCAACCGCATGTCAAAGCCAAGTTCAGCAGCCATCTGGTCTAGCTTCATCTTCTCCGAAAGCTGATCTACAAATTTAAGATACTGAGCCCCCCAAAACAAAAATGAAATTGATATAGAAAACAGTTAACAGGGGAATTTGTCAGGCTTTCGTCTTTCTCTCAAGCAGAGAAAAGTTACTTCTCAATGCTTAGACTAAGCAGAACATTCTAATATTAATATTTTCAACAAGAAACAAACAGGATGGAAACATAATAATTACATGTTATTTTAAAAGCTGAGACAGCTACAGTAAATATATATTTGCAGTTTTTCTTTTAGTAATATCAGAGTAGATCAACTATGTAATAAGGATGGGAAAAACATATGAACAGTCAAGTGCACACATATGTGTGTTATATCATACATACGTATATAAATATATACACAATATACAGATGGGGGAGAGAGAGGAAGGAGGGAAAAAGAGAGAGAGAGGAGAGGGAAAGAGGGAGAGAGACAGAGACTGAGAGGGAAAAACAGAAAACAGAGAGACAGAGACAGAAACAGTGACAGACTGAGATGACTGAGATAACTAGCTAGAGGGACAGAGTTGGAGTCAAGGAGACCTGGGGCTCAAATCCAGCCACTAGCCACGTAATCAGGACAACTCATTAAGCCTTTCATCGTCCTCAGGCAATTCTAGTCTCTAAAACCATAAGTTACAAAGCAGTAGTCAATCTGCATCAACTGAAGAGTCCTAAGGGAGTTTCCAAATGGGAATTTCTTATATGATGAAATCTTAGATCTGGACCAAATGCATGTATACATATGTAAAATAGAGCCAATAGTTCTTAAGTGAAGGCACCAGGGATATTGATTTTAATGCATGGATTTTGTAATAGCTATTTCGGTCACTTTAGTGCCTTTTTATGCTTATTTCTAGGTCTTGGTTATTCTAAAAAGGTGCTGTAACTGGAAGGAAACCTCACCCCTGGATAAATGGAGCATTACTGTATAAACTACTTTGTTTACAGGTTGGATCATAAGATCCAACATGTGGCTCAGAAGATCAATAGACATAGAACTTGGACAGGACACTGGTAGTCATCTAGCTGCCAGTATAGATAATGACTATGACAATGTACATGGGAAGTCCAGCGACAACTGAAAATGAATGCTATGAAATTATGGTGACTAAGTGCGGTGCCAAAGAAAGGATATGAGAAGCCACCTCCTTTCCTCTTTGCAGAAGTAGGGGCTCCAGGGTTATGAAACATTATGGGTAAATGTCACAATTTTTCAATATGTTGGTTAATTTTGCTGAATTAGGTTTTTTTTTCCTTCTCTTTTATTCTTTGTTATAAGAAGGACTTTCTGAGAGCAGGAGAGAAGGATAAATTGGAAAATGTAGGTGATGTTAGAAAAAGATGTCAAAAAATTATTTTTAAAATAAATAATAGGCAGCATGGAATAATAGAGAGGAAATATATCTGCTAGAAAGAAAGCAAGAAAGAAGCAAGAAAGAAAGAAAGAAAGAAAGAAAGAAAGAAAGAAAGAAAGAAAGAAAGAAAGAAAGAAAGAAACTGAGGCCCCAAGGGATTGATTAGATTTGCCTAAGGTCACAAAGATATTAAGCAGCAGAACTGGTAACTGCACCCCAATACTATAACTTCAAAGGCAACATTCTTCCCACAGCACTTCACTATTTCATTACATGATCATTTTTTAAAAATAGCTCAACGACAGTATCTCTATTTAGATATGCAGTCTGGGGACCTCCCACATACCCACAGAAAGTAAACTGCTCTCTTCAATACTAGGGAATGGAGCATAATTCTAGAAAATTCCAGTCAGTTATCTTTTGGGGTGGGGGGAAGAAAATTCAGCTTAAATTTTAACTAAAAGTGTTTATTTAGCCATTAAAGGTAGCATAAGCATTTACGTTTAGCACCAAAATAAGGTACAACTTTTCTTCATATTTTCATAGGCAATTCTATGCTCCTTAGATCACAGGTTTCATGGGTAGCCTAGAACCAAAGATATAGAACTAGAAGGAATTTTAGAAGTTATTTAGTCCAACCTACTTATTTTATTGATGAGGAAACTGAGAACCACATATAAAATGACTCACTCGAGTTAAGTAACTGAATTTGGATTTGAACTCAAGTCTGGTAACTCCAATTTCACTGCTCCCACTGCATATTATTTGAGAATATATATAATTTTGAGAACCACTTGGATAGAGTATTAACTAAAAAAGTATTTTTTAACTTACTCTATTGCTGCAATACCCAACAGGAAAAATTAAAACAATCCCAATGAAATCCTTTCCTCTAAACCTTTTTTTTTTTTGCTACTTTATTCTGTCAATAGTAAGTAATATAAACCTAAAACCAAGAGCCAGTATTATATGTAATTGGGATAAACTAGTGGACTTTCCATTGAGATCAGGGATAAAGTATGCCCATTGTCACCACTACTATTTGACGTAGTACCATAAATGCAGACAGACAGACATACAGACAGATAGATAGATAGATTTAAAGATATAATTGCTATATGTATATAAATATATAATATACATATATATATATATATACATTTATGGGCAACTAGGTGCACAGCAGATAAGGGGTCAGACGTAGAGCCAGGAAGAATCATCTTTCTGAGTTCAAATCTGACCTCAGACATTTACTAGCTATGTGACCCTGGGCAGGTTACTTCACCCTGTTTGCCTCAGTTTCCTCATCTGTAAAATGACCTGGAGAATGAAATGCAAACCACTCCAGTATCTTTACCAAGAAAACATAAACGGGCTCACAAACAGTCAGACATATATACACATACATATATATATATATATATATATATATATATATATATATATGTATGTATATAATTGATATATATCTATATAAAATTGATATATATATAATTGATATATAATTATATTGCTATATATAAATATTTTATATATTATATATATATAAGTAATAAGATTACAAAAAAATTGCAAAAACAATAATAGCCAAAGAAGAAACACAATTATTATTTTCTGCGAATGATATGTTATACTCAGAGAACCACAGAAAACTTATAAAAACATAATAGAAATAGCTAACAACTTTACAAAATTGCAGGATAAACCTCTGCAGACCACTTTATCCCATTAAGCACTGAATCCATTTCTCTCCAGCACGTTCAGGATGGCACAAACATCGTATCTCCTCAGATGTTGTTGCTCAGTAGTTTTTGGCTGCGTCTTCCTAAGTCGAGGCCTAACACTCTATCCACTGCACCACCCAGCTACCCGTCTCCTAGGGTGCCGAATGGAAATTCGGCAGAGTGGCTAAATGTTTGCCACTCATAAGAGTATTCTTCAAAGTCTATGACTAAAATCATAGGGTGAACCTGCTTTTCTTCCAGACTGAAAAAGATGAAAAAGAGGAGGAAGAGGAGAATAAGGTTCTCAGCCTCAGAGAGGTTATGGTGGGAATGGAACAAGGATGCAAAACTGGTTGTTACTTTGTTCTTGCCAGTGATGCCTGTTTTGCTCTCAGATATCCAGAGAGAGTGGATGTGGTAAAATAATTCTTTACCTTGTAGCTGACTAACTATACTAGCTGTGCAGAAATTCAGAAATGATTCTATGTACTGATTGCTCAATGGTTAACAATGCAATCTTCAAATGTGCTGTGCTTTCCATTTATGCCCCTTCCAAAGCATCACTGTAAAGACAACCTGGTACAGTTAAAAGAGCCTGGGTTCAAATCTCAGCTTTGCTACTTATAATCTGAGTGACCCTGAGCAAGGCATTTCCCACCAAAACCTCTCAGTTTCCCTACCTGTAAAATAATGGGGTTGACCTAACTACAAAACTAGGATTAAATCTGAAAGCCCTGTGGAATCTCCCCTCCACCTCTATTCTATCACCAACTGAATCTCCTCTTGCCCTAACCCAGCAATCTGGACGAAAATTCCACAATGTTCTTTCCTTTTCATTTAATTCAACAATAACACATATACTTTATAATAATTTATTTGACCTTTCAGAAGTAAAATAACCACCTGAAGGGAAAGTTTCCCATTTCTGCAAGACAAAATTCTAGAGCTATTTTTTTCTTGCTCCATTTTTTACTAGAAATTAAGATCGGGGGCAGCTAGGTGGTGCAGTGGATAGAGCACCGGCCCTGGAGTCAGGAAGACCTGAGTTCAAATCCAACTTCAGACACTTGACACTTACTAGCAAGCCACTTTATCTCATTGCCAAACCCCCCCCAAAAAAAATTCAGCTCCAAGGAGTCCTGAAACCCAGAACTGCCCCATTCTCCAGCCATGCCACCTACTACTTGAGATTTTTCGGGTGAGCTAGAATTTAGGACTCAATCTCTAAGTATGCTGGATGATTTTTCAGACACATTTTTATCTTATAACAGATGTTTCCATTAAGTAAAATAGCCTTAGATTATTACTTTTTGTTTCTCCAGGCTCAAACTGTCTAGCAGAACATCTCCAGATACCAGCTCGCCCTCCAGGTGCGTCAATTGACCCTGAAGATCTTCAAAATGCTTTTCGGCTTTCTGGGCCCTTTGCAGAGCTTTCTGGTGAAGTCCATTCTCATTCTCCAATTGCTCAGCCAGTTTAGCTATTTGGGCTTCAAGCTGGGAAACCATCTGGAAAGAAAGAAACAGAATAGGACTGAGCTTCATTTGAAATGCAAGAAAGTGTTAAAAAAAAAAAAAAGAAAAAGAAAAAAAGAGTGCTAAACTGCTCCAGCAAACCTGTTTATATTATCACCTTACAGATTCAAATCACTTGATTTCTTTAGAGGGAAAAAAATCGCCATACAAAATCTAAAACAAAATACTAATCATACACCTCTGATGCAGATACAAACTCTATTCTCACTATCTAATGAAATCTATTTACATTATTGGGGGGGGGGCTAGGCAATGGGGTTAAGTGACTTGCCCAGAGTCACACAGCTAGAAAGTGTCAAGTGTCTGAGGCCAGATTTAAACTCAGATCCTCCTGACTCCAGGGCCAGTGCTCTATCCACTGTGCCACCTACCTGCCCCATACATTATCTAATATAACCTGACATTTGCCTGAGACACTGAGTCGGTTAAGTGAGTTGACTGGGGTCACACAGCCAGTAATCAATGAATCAGGCCCACGCCTATAATGCCTACCACTAAGAGAGGCTGACGCTGATGGATCACTTGAGTTTAGGAATTCTGTGCTACAGGAGCTAAGGCTGATCAATTGGGTGTCCACCATGGTAAGTGCTGTTGTATGGAGATAACCTGGATTCTCAAAGAATCACAAGATGTAGAACTGTGTGGGATCTTAAAGATCAAGAGAGAATGCAGTATGGTAGAAAGTTCATCAGCTCTGGAGTCAGAGGACCTGAATTCAAATCCTGCCCTTAATTTTTTACTACCTGTTTGACTTTGCACAAGTTACTAAATCTCTCTGAGCCTATGTTTCCTCATCTAGAAAATGAGGGGTTTGAACTGTCTGGCCTCTAATGATTCTTCAAGTCCTAGATCTGTGGTCTAACACAATCCTCTTATTTTGCAGATGAGGATACTAAGGTATGACTTGCCCAAGATCACAGAATTCACACCCAGGGCCTCTGGCTCCAAAGGCTATGCTAGAAGAGTCCAGGCTCTGACAGGTCCTATTGTTATCTTCCCCCAGTAAAGGCAAAACCTCAAACACAGATCTGGTGATTGACTCAAGATCTGTCATCCTAGGACCCAGTTATATAAACTGAAAGAGCTCATCACCAAAGGGTTAGCTGAAAGGAAGGAAATAAGCATTTATGAAGTAACTACTGTGTGCCAGGCACTGTGCTAAGTGCTTTATAAATATTATCTCATTTGATCCTCACAACAATGCTGGGAGGTCGGGGCTATTATTATCCTCAATTTATAGTTGAGGAACTGAGGCAGACATAGAGGTTAAGTGACTTGCCTAGAGTCACACAGCTCATTAGTATCTAAGGCTAGATTTGAACTCAGATCTTCTGTACTCCAGACTCAGCCTGCTTCTAGGTAATAAACTGTTTTTCCTACAGCAACTCAGTAAACAGCTGACCAAGGTGTGGAAGGGCTATAATCTGCCATCAGTGGAGGTGGTACACAGATAAATGAAATCATGGACCCTTAAAGTGTTGAAGCACTTGCAGATGTCTTTCACTTGCATGCAGGCTCTCAGTAAAGCTCACTGAAGGAGGTCATGTTGCAGTTGCTCTTGGCAGGAAGAAAGATGGACAGATCCAGGTTCACCTGCAAGCCACAATGAGGCTTCAAAGCAGGGCTTTGTGGGAGACCATAACATATGAGAAATAAATCCACTTCTGTTCATCCTCCCTCTTCCTCACCCCCACTCCCCAAAAAAAAGAGTTCACACTTCAACATAATTACAAGTTTGGAAGACCAAATCCCAAAGTGAACACAATAAGAACAGGAAACAGAAACTCTCCACTAGGATTCTAAGAAAAGAAGATGAGATTCTTTCCCACCCAGTGAGCCCTGCCACCTGAGATTTACAGAAAGAAAATCAGGTTTTAAGGCCAACCTAATGGTCTCTTTGTGGTCTTATTAAAGAGTTTCATTAAAGGTAATCAGGGGTTTCCCCAAAGACAAATGATCTATTTCCTCTCATATTCATGTATGCTACTCAAAAGCTTCTGGGCATCCTGCAATTTCTAGTAAGAACATCAGCTCTTCTAGCAATAACTCTTAAACAATTTTAATTTACTCTGTTTAAATCTTACTTATTTTTAAATTTAGTTCACTCAAAAGTAGAACTTCCTTTGATGCTTACCTTTTTCTCTATATGCTTTGCCCTGTAGCAGAAAGCTCTCCCATAAACCATGTCTTGTGTTTCTCTGCATCTCCCCACAGTGCCTAACATTGCACTATATATTTATACAGGCACTCAATGAATATTCATTTAAGAAGTGCCAAATCACCATCTTTATTTTGCACATTAGAAATACAGTGCTTCATTTTTCTCCTATATATTTATTTGATTCAATGACAAATCCAGAAAAGGAATCCAGAACTCCTTTGGGAAAATACTATTATATAAAGAATGCTCAGCCTTTAAGTATTAAGGAAAGAAAATGTAAGGGATGAAAATAATAAGTGCCAGGAGTTTTTTCCAGTAAACCGTAAGTAATTTCACATGGCATAGCACAGGGGATAAGAAGCTAACTTTGAAGCCAGGTCCTTCCTCTGACATACTTGTTGTGTGACCCTAGGCAAGTCACTTAATGTCTCAGTGCTCTAGGTAAATCTGGGACTTTAACCTGTAGAGAAAGTATAGACTGAATTCAATGGTAGAGAGTTTTTTTTTAATTAAGATAGTCTATAAAACAGTAGCATCAAACTCAAAACGAAACAGAGCCAGTAAACTATACATAAACATCCCTGCCAACCTATTAATTTAGAAAACCACAGAGAACACATTATCTGTATTCCATGTTTTAATGTATTTTCTTAAATATTTCTCAATTACATTTTAATCTGGTTCAGGCTCCACTCAAGGAGTGTGTAGCCTGTGGACCACATGTTAGATATCTCTGCTACAAAACAATGAAATCAAGCCCAGTTCCTCCTCCTATCTGTAAATACCTTCCCACATGACTGGTAGTTAGGCTAGGCCATTACAGCCTTGGAGATAATTTATTTAGGAACTGAAAAGAAGGCTGAAAAAATTATACTAGAACCAACTCCAATTGGGTGGAGAGAGTCAATTGTTAAACTTTCAATATGAGCATTTTTACTCAGAAATTAGCAAATACTGCAAATCAGGGCTTGATTTATTGCTTTATTGATTGTGAACAATAAAAAGTGATGAAAATGTTAATACTATAGAATAAGATTAAAGTTAAATGTGTCATATACACTTTTTTTAGAGAGCCGATTGTTAAATACATACCAGTATTTACCTATTTCTACTATGTAATGGCTACCAAATCTACATCACTAGCCCTGATCTTTCTCCCATATAGTAGACTTACAGTAAATCCTCATTATTCACAGATTCCATATTTGCAAACTTGCCTACTCATTAACCTCTATTGGTAACCCCAAAATTAATACTTGAGGCACTTTTGCAGTCATTCAGGGACATGAGCAGAGTGGTGAAAAATCTGACAGCATGCATGTTCCCACCTCAGATCAAGCAAGGTGATGCTGTCAACATTTTCATTATTATAAGTGAGGGGTCAAAGGAGAGATGGGCAGAGATTTGTTGGGAAATCACTATGGTATAGAAATAAAAGTAATCAATAAAACCTTAAAAAAAGAAGAAATGAGTGGTAGAATTCAGACCCACCCATTCATCATTCAATGGGAAAGAAGAAAGTAACTTCATGAAAACAACTCCATTGAAACACCACCCAATGCAAGTTTTATAGATTTGTTTTTAACATCAGAGATGACAAAGAAATAATTATCCATGGTTTCTCAATAGCATAAACCATTTTCAGCCTGGTTGATTAGCCATTTTAAAAAAACAACCAAAAAAGAAGGAAGTATTTTCTCTAGATAATCTACAGTTATTTCTGAAGGTCTTGCAACTTAACATCTCATGTCTCATTGTACAAGAAGCCATAATTTCAAAAACATCTGCTACAGGTGTCCTGAATTTTCAAGGTTAAACAACGCCCAGGACCCAATTCAAATTCATGGTCACCTAGCAGTGATTAAAAACGGAAAAGAAAAGAAAATGTGCCATGTGCAGGAAGAGAATGAATACGCAGAAGTAATTGATGGGAAAAGTGAGGCTCTCCTAGCTTCTACAATGAATTCTTATGGTAGGAGAGTAAGAAGGATGACTAATATGCTGCAAAAGATAAATAAAAGGCAATGTTCTGCAAATGGAAACACACCTAAGTTGATTTCGCCAAGCCAAGTCTGACTGCCTTTCGGCCTTCAAACTGCTATGACTCAACTATTTACAGTACGTTTTGCCACATCAGCTGGAAATCAGCACATTGTCTCTTCCACAAACAGATTTATCGAGTTGTAAAAGTACCAATTTTCCAGAAATACTTTTAAAACAACACAGGAGACCTATTTTCTTCCAATGTTGCCTAAGTATGAGTCACACAAGAAAGCAGCAACTATATGCTTGATTTTGGTTTTTAGAAAGGAAAAGAAACTATTGAAAAAGATTACTGGGTAGGAAAGTCAGATAAAGGCATGAAAAAGACTGAGTCATTCTCATTTTTATGGGGGTAGGGAGGGCAGAACCAGCTTAACCAATTTACATCATTTGCTTTAGAAAATAAACAAATATATCATGCTGACAATTTTATGTTGTTTCACATGCTACAATTAAAACAGTTTCGGGCAAAGCATTTAGAAGGAAATAGGGAAGGGAAACAATAACATGGATGTAGGAACAAGCCATTAGCTATTGAAGGCCATCCACTTCCACTTAAGGAAAAGAATTAAATCATCTTTCACAATAAATATATATTTTAAAAAGAAAGGTTAAGTTATTAGCATAAGCCTTTCTTAAAAATAACTTCCTTGGCCATCTGGGGATGGAGGCAAGATGGTGGAGTAAAAGCAATGACTTGCTTGAGCTCTTCCCCAGAGCCCTCCAAATACCTGTAAAAAATGGCTCTAAACAAATTCTAGAGCAGCAG